GTATAGGTACAGGTCCCTTAACTTAGACGGGCTGCCTTTTATTGATAAATCTATGTATTTATGAATATTAAAGCCAGTCTAGTTAATCCTCGTTATGTTTTTGTTGGTTCAGCAATGTAATTTGTTTCCTCTGTACTTTGAGGTATTCAGCACAATATACAACAAAGCTCTTGACTAGTATGACATTCTTATGGTGTTTTAGTTTAATGTTTCATTCTTATTGTTTCTTAGGTTTTCAGTGGCTGCTAAATACAATATCAAATGAATTTGGAAAGATTTCCTCTCGAGTGGAGCATGATGTTGCCATTCAGGTAGATTACTTGTCACTTTTGTAAACGTCGGTATTTTAAAATAGTATACAACGATTTTTTAAGATATATATAAAGTTTTACGTTTATGATTCATGCAAAGAATCCTTAATCTAAAGTGCGTATCAACCATACTGTAAATATGCGGTGCATGCGAGAGCTGTAAAATCAGAACTTTATTAATTAAAAATATTCTTTAGATTGTTTTTCGGTGGGCCTAGTTCGCATGAGGTATACTTTGCGTACGCTCGCAGTAGCGCAGACCTCGTGCTCTTTACTGACAGACACGGATTACGAAAAGGACATGTTTATTTATGTTGAATCATTCTAAACATTACACTAGGCTTTAATAATTATAGATACGTAGTCCTCCACATGACCAGGATGAAATACAAGTATCCCGTCACTATGTACAAAGAACACTAGTAGCGGGTAGTACGAAGTACTCTTATGATGCTGTTGTAGGTATTTACTTTTCATGAGTCATGTCCTTTTGGAATGGAAGCCGTTGATACGAACTGAAACGTCAAGAGCACATCACACGCAGAGGCACTGAGCCTTGTTATAAGATTAGAGACGCAACCACTGTTCAGAACACAAATTTAATATCTTGCATCTTCTTTTAAAATACTTAATTTCATTGCGTTTTCTGAATTCGGTTTCGGATTGAAGACCAGAGTGCTAGCCTGCGTTTCAGGATTCTAGTACTTGTGATATTGATTTTATGACGATAACAAGTTAAAAAATTTTCAAGGTCGTTATTAGACTGCTGGTGAATATTCACCTGCAATTTGACTCGCAGCCCTGCTCAGGACTCAGGAACAAAGACCTCAATCAGGCATGTCGAAGCCTTGCAAAGCTAGGCCGGGCCGAGGTAGAGAAAGAAATAGGACACAGGTTCTACGAGACCATATACAGATTCTTAAGAGGGCACGTCCGGGAACCTCCGGGCACCTTCGCCATAAGTAGCAATTTTTCAAAAAGCATATTGATTTCGACGTCGCTGACCCCTACTTCGTTTGTGCTGTATGCGTTCATTTTTTTATACTCAGCAGTTATATACATGTATGTGTTCATATATGCGTTCCCTGCAACCCACTACATATTGTCCTCAATTCTTCGTACACAAATGCTATTCAGCATCCACTCGTTCGAATACCAGCCTGAAGAAAATTGATTTTTAATCACGCGCTATGAAAGCCTTTGCCCACTCAGTCGTTGACTCTTGGCCACAGCCCTGATCCGGCATTTTTTGCTAGGAATTGTAAATGACCAAAGCTGCCAATTTGTCACTAGAAAATGTAGCTCAACTTGTCTGAAGATTCAGAGTATTTATGTTGTGCCAACATACTGTTAAACTGCTCATGATCTGAATGGGAGTGTCTTTGAGGTTGTCTTGTTGCCAATCAAAGTGAATCATTTCTCAAGCCCATTTTGCAAATTATTTAAGTACCAGATTAAAATAGCAAGCATTTGCTCCAAGATGGTACTTCTGCATCGCTAATGCGCCTTGTTTATTGGTCAAAGTATTTTACTTCATCTCATAAGGGAGTGTTTTTTTGGTTTTGCTTTGAACCTTTAATCCGTGTGAACAGCGCGTTAACTGCAAAAATACAAGTATTTTAAGACTCACAGTTAGCCCCATATACAGTTTTAGTAGGTAAAGGAACCAAAATACAACCAAACAAATAAATAATTGACCAAAAATCTAGTAGGACAGAGAGATCGCCTCAATGACGTCATGACTGTTTGTATATGTGTTAATCTGCTGTCATCCATTTTTGAAGATATGTTGACTTTTTAATCCTTGTTTTGCCGATTGATGCTAAAATGCTTGATTTGTCTCTCTCATTGCATATGTTATCTACCATGCAAAATTATGGTTACTTATGGAGGTCCCTTTTAAAACCAGCTTTACGAGTAGTGGCATTCTAATCTCTGCCACAGCAAGCATGTTAAATTTGAAGAATCGCCCGCCACAAACCTGTCACGATAATCCATAATATGATCTTCTGGGATAATGGCTTTTTTTTGTCCACTCACCAACAGCATCTGCACTGATGATTGTGATTCGAAGGTTAACGAACGCATTAACGCCAGTTGAAAGTAATAGTAGTATTTGCTAGTCGAAGTTCAAGGCTTTGATGATCAAAGATTCTGATATACTGATTTGTACAAGAGATGGTGCTCATCAACCGATCTATATCTAAAAAGCCTTCGCGAGGGAAAATCAGTTTCAGTGGACAGCAGGTAAAAAAATTGTTAATAGCATCTGTTTTATCGGATCCAAATCAGATAGAGTTGAAAGTTCCTGTTAATTTTGCAATGCTGTCACCTGATTGTGATCTTGACAAACATTTCCGTTGCTTGTGTCGGAAATTTAGTAAAAGTTTTCTTGGCACTTCAAGTCTTCTCTCTGCGATTTGATTATGGTTGGATTTTGCTAATATGATTGAATTTCCCTTTGTTATTCCAAGTGAGAATTTGCAAGTGAAGTTAAAATCTGTGCGTTACTGTAAGACAGAATGGTACATTTTAGGTACATTTTTGGTACAGTATTTTGTGCTCCTGCCTTTCACGTTTTGACAACATTAAGTTTCTGGTTTTTGAAAATCAAAAATCAAATTTCGCTTAGTTTACACCCGTAGTGTTTGAAATGGTTTATGGAGTTTGCAGCTCGAAACATCATCCATATATCAAACGGGGCACATTTTATGTATTAATGTAGTTGAAATTTTGCATTATTTTTTAATTTAATTTAATTTATTTCATATATTAAGGAAAGTAGCTTTTGAGCAATATTGATTTTCAAGGGGCCCTCCGCTAAAAACTTACAGAAACTGTCATTGTATGAAAAATTAATTATCCTTATTGCAGTTCAAAATATGCACTTTATATTAATACCCTACTTTAATCTGAATTTAGTTTTTTTGATAAATAAACATCCACGATAATAAGACCAAATGATGAACACCTATTTACAATTAAGCAAGATATATTTTAAGTTTTCTCGGGGAAGATGTCTATTTACACTCAGCTAAAAGCCATTCAAAGACCTAGCACCCCTAAACGAGAAGCATATCTGTCCCTTTTTAGAGTTCTTCTTTGGTAGCCTTTGGAGTTTTTTTGCATCAGTTCCTTTAATATGGCGTTACTATTCTTTATTCTGTTTAAGTAAGCAGCTAAAGATGTATGCAGTAGTTCTTAGAAACCCAATTCACCTCAGCTAGTTCTTTCTACTAGACTTAATGTCTCTCCAATGAGTTATTCTCTCCATGCGGTTAACTCTTTCCCTGTCCCATTCAGCTTGCCAAAGTCTACTTTTGCATGGCATTTAGAGAAAACCTTAGCCTCGGAGAAGATCTACCAGCTCGGTTTGATCTCAAGTTTTTGGAAAAGGCTTATGGGTCTGTTTTAGGGCTTTGCAACCTCGTTTTGTAGATAAAGATTGTTTCAAGCTGTTTCGCCGAGACAGAATGCGATCATCAGACAGTTTGTTTAATCGTTCTATCATTGTACTAGTCATTTTCTCGTTCATACAATTTCAAAGAACTCGTGTGAGAACAATTTAAGAATTATCCCTGCCCTTTGCCAAACGAAATGCTATATGTACTTCGGTCCATCGTCGGATTTACAGAACCTCGCGATGAAGAATATGTAAATAAACAGCGAACAGGAAGAACTGAAAACTACGAAAATAATCCGTTATAACGAGATATAAACTTGTTATTCAAATATATATAAAACAGTTTTTTGGCGGTACAGAGCTTGAAAAATGGCTTTGAAAATAGCAAACATGTTTTTACTTTTCAAATGCCATTTTCAAATATGTATAACTAAAATAAAAATCGAAGAAGTAATATTTAGCCCGTTGTTATTAGAGTTTTTATTAGCTATTTACATGCTGAAATATCTTCATTAGTTGTTTGAATATCTTTCCTGTTTGTTGTAGTATAGACAGCCTGCTTTGTTCGCCCCGGCTGTCGTGTTTTTCTCCTATCATGAATGACTACCCAGTCAACAATGTCGTCGTTTTTTGCAGACAATCCTTGCAGTATCCTATTATTTCGCGGAGATCCCTCCTAAAGTCATTTGCTGTCTAGAAATAAGCTTACGGCTTTATTTTCAAGAAATTCCGTGTTTATTATACCAGAAAGTGGTCGTTAGAGCTCATCTCAGAAAATCGAGCTTCTATCAATATTTTAAATATTTAATAACCACTCTCTTCAGTAGATCCTGACTAGACTACAAAATGTATCTGTGGGTGGCGCACCCAACCCAAACAAATACACCAATTCGACTTGCGGCCTTGTTTTGGAAACTTCTCCAAACTTCATTGTACGACCTGTTTAAGCTCAGATTTGGTTTTATCACCATAATTTGAGGCTGGACACAATTTTCATATTGTTTGGGCTTGTATTTTTGATTTTACGGAGAAATGAAGTTCGAAATCTTGTAACCGCAAAAATAATTATGGGGGAAACTACACCCCCCTAGTCACCAATCTGGGTCAAATCTCTTATAAAATTGTTATCTTTATATTGTCATAAAATCAATATCGTGAGCAATGCCGTAATGAAAACTTCCAAGTAGACTTAAACCATTGCTGTCAATCCGAATCCTAGGTCAAACAGTTCGCATATTAGCTAGTGCCCCCCCCCCTCCCGGATTGGCACCCCTACGTTCAAATTTAGATCCTTTCCTTGTTTATGGTGAGGATGGAGAGGAGGTCAGTAACAACTTCTCAAAAAAGGTTTTCTTTGTTAGCTCCTGATCTTTTGTTGCATTTCTTTTGTTACCCTTTTCACCGTGCTATTTCTTTATTTAAGAAAGAAGAAGAAGAAAAAGAGAGAAAAGCTAGGCTAGAGCGAATACGAAAAATTAGGGAGGAAAGGTAAGTTGATTGAATATGATTCGAACAGCTTTCTCTTGTGTTTCCCTCATGTTTTTCAACGGATTTTTCAATTAAATGTAGAAGTAGAGCTTCTTTCTATTTGATTGAGTTGTCAGAAAGTTTACCCCTCTGAAGTAAGCTCTGAGAAACATTATGACAAAGTTCCTAGTCCGTTGTGTTGAGCTATCCTTTGCAGAAGATGTTTGTTTATTTGCATTCAATGCCAAATTCTTTAATATTACTATTGAAAACTACTGCTACCAATGGATGTTGTTCAATTTCTGATGACTCTTGTTAAATTAGTTGCATGCAGTGAAACTTCCAAATAACCGACACATGTCAGATTAGAGTTTAAGTTCATTGTAGATGGAGTTTGAACTGCAAAACCTTCTTTGGCCAATCGGTATAGCTGTTGTTTTGTTTTTGGTATTTGGAGATGCTCTTAATATAATCATTTCTTGTGGCTGAGTGATGCTGCTCCAACCTTGCTGCTTGATATACCTGTCATTGTACTCTATCGCAAAAACCTCTTGGAATAAAGTTATTATGTTTTTGAAATGGCATTTGATATCACAATTTTGCACTGTTATTCTTTTGTAAGATATTTAACTACATTATCCACGTATTTCCTCAGAGATAGACAAGAAAGAGAAGCAGGGAATGACCCTGACAAAGAGGACTCGGATGATGACGTAATGATGGTGAATCCATTTCAGCCAATTGGGAAGCATCTGGTAATTAAAATTTTTGTCAATGTTATTGTGTATTGAGGGGGAGTCTTTGCATTTTAAGGGTGCCATTGCAAAACGAAGTAGAAAGCTTTGATTGACAGCTGCACAGCCAAGCATTGACAGTCGTATTCTCCAATTTTGGTCCAGCAAAATTATATTCTATAACGAGAATCTCATTAAATTGCCTTTCCGTGCAATTTTTCTTTCGCAGGAAAATATGAAATCCAAGGAAAGAAAAAAGAAACTTGAGAAAGAGAAGGTTAGAGAATTTTTTCGTTTATGTTTTTTTGGTATCTTTATCGTGTTATATTATTGAGCAAAATATATTTCGTTCAATCGTGAGCTTATTTCAGTGATCATTTCTTGTAATTCTATAACAAGGAACGTAGGTAGGTTTATTCAGAATTTAATGGTGTGTGGGTCCAGTAGAAAAATTTATACTTTCGTGTTTCTACACTGTTCAGATAAGCCGTAGATCTGTTGACTTATTAAATTTGAAATAATATTCCTTTGTCTAGAAACAAAAGGCTGAACAAACCAGGTTAGAAATGGAAGCTAAAGAAGACAACGAGCAACCTGAATCTTCCAATGTCAAGAAGAAAAAGAAGAAGAAAAAGAAAGCTGTAAAAGTTCAGGAGGAGGAAGATATGCAAGTGGATGTCAACAACGATGCACATGCTGCTTCCACTGTTGATGCGGACGATCATCACCATGAGATACCTCAGCATTCATACGATGAAGATAATGGGGTGGTTGTAAAGAAGAAGAAGAAAAAGAAGAAGATAGCAAAACATCTGGAAGATGAAAGTGCACATTGTGATAATACCGATGGAATTAAAAATTCCTGTTTTGATGAGAAAGATGAGCGCATGGAAGAAGATGTTCATAATTCGCACGATGAAGATAATAATACATTAGTGAAGAAAAAGAAGAAAAAACAAAGAATAAAAGTTGTTGAAGAGATTGATAGGGTACCGTCAGGAGAAGAGGAAAGTTTTAATCCATCACCAGTCATTAAAAAGCAAAAGAAGAAAAAGAAGACATTGACTAATTTTGACGAAGATATTGTGGAACGAAAATTTGAAATTGAAAGTGAAATGAAATTTCAGAATGGTAATTTAAAGGAAATCGAAGACATCGATTCTCACACACTTGAAAACGGAGAATCTGTTGAAGCAAGCGAATCTATTAGCAAAGTAAAGAAGCCGAAAACAAAGAAAAGGAAGAAGAAGAAAAATAGGACTGCACCGGTTGATCACGTTCCAGAAGACGAAGCTGCGTCACTTCCTGCTCCTGTTTGGAAAACACCCCCATCAAATTGGACATCGTTACCGCCAATCGGAAACAATGGGGACTCGACCAACATTGGGGGCTTACCACCTCTGCGGAGCAACAAAACAAAAAGTAAGTGGTATATTTGATAGCCAAGGAAACTTTTAGAGGTGATATATCCTGGTTTGCGTAATTTTTTTGACAAGTTGCAGTTGCTTTATACAACATGTTTTGGTCACTGGTTTTTTGGGCCAATGATTTTATGAGATCCCGTGTGTTATATGACTAATTATATTTAGGTAACTTGGTACCTTTATTGTGTTTAGAAACCACAATTAAAAACACAAATAAACGATCAAAATTTGCTTTTAGAATTTAAACAATTTTTTTCATTTATAAATGAATATTTTCAAGTCGCTTCAAACGTATGCTGGCTGCTCCTTTTTCGTATTGACTTTCGGCACCAACAGTAAACTCTTTATGTTGCGAAAAATGCCAATCACGAGGTATGTTGCTATAGACGGATCGCCAGCCCCTAACCAATACTACGTTCTTCAGAATGAACAGCTTTCATTTTAATTTTTGCTTATTGAAATTAATCCTTATAATTTCGTTTTTTACAGAAACAATTGGGGATTCAACGATGCAACAAGTAAGTTTCGAATGACTTCTGGAAATGTATTTTCTGTTGTTTGCAATTCAATAAGGATTCCCACTTGTTTATCAGAAACTAAACTGAAAGTACAAGCCTTAAGGATTTTGATCTTTTCAAACGATTACTCCATAAAATGTTGTTAGAGGAACAGTTAGCATTAAAATTCCACTATAACCAATTACCAGGTAAACAAGTAACGCCAATTTTCCGTCTGAAAACTATTTCCCAAGTAAGTCAGCTTTTTTCAACAAAAGCTCAACATGTTAAAAAATATTATTTATTATAGTTGATAATTTCTTTTTAAATTGTCTTGTTATGTAAAATTTTCGTATATTTTAGTCTTAAGTTCCGAAATTTAGGCTTACCTAAAGTGTCTAAAGTGAATATTACAAGAGATTTCGTCGGCAGTTTTCTCTCCATGCTAATACGATTTAAAAATATCCTTGGATAGAGATCTTATTGATCGCAACTTTAGAAAAAGTAGTTGATAAGAATAAGCACCATGCTATTTGTTTTTCATTATGATTTTCAAAAAGCGCTGTGCTATAAAAGTACACATCAAAAATTGTTGTCTCTCTAATTAATTGACTGGTAATATCGAGACATAGTATTCTATCGTTAGCTGTTGAGTCAAAAGTCAGAAATTTTCCCGACAGCTTATATATGTTGAGTAACAACTACTTCCTCGAACTCAATTATTCTTAGCTGGGGCCTACAAAGTTTTGTAGCAAAGTGGTCAGCATTGATGTTGCTAGATGGGTTTGTAATGTAAACAAACTCTGTTCAGGATTAATGTAGTATTATTATGTTATAAAATGTTCTTGTTTTATTTCTAGCTTCCTTCGTCGTCGCCATCTTGGGCAAGAACAAGACCGAACAGCGAAGATTACGACCTTGTGACTTAGAATGGATGCACAGTCGATTTACCATGTTTATGTCATTTCTCTACAGTGCATTCAAAACCATGTAGGGGCCGTCCAAAATGTAACTGGGCACAATGTATGATTTGTTCAGTAGACCCAAACGCCGTTTGGGTTTAATTACGTCCATTTGTCCCTGAACGAGCAGAGATGTGTGTATTTTGTAGGATCATTTCAAAGTTATAAATAGTTGCACACTTTCTAATAAGCCTCGGGGCATGGCTTTGCCTATTTACAATGTTAATAGTATCTCTGTGGGGTTGAGAAGGGTATTCTTTTTGTACAACAGTGGGAATGTGTATAATATGTTAAAGATATGAAATTTTTCGTTGTCAATTCCTTTATTAAACTAGCAAAAGCTGTGCATCTAGAGAGAGTGTTGCCTATCATTTAGACATTTTTCCTATATCACTCACGAATGGCTCATCTGTCAGTTATTAATTTTTGGGAAAATTGCAAATATTTTATGTCACCTGCTTTGTCTACAAATACACTAAAGTTCCAAGTAGATTTTCCAAGCAACCGTAAACTCTGAGAAATGCAACATAACTTCAGCCTAGATATGCAAAATAAGCAAAACTGGTAATGAGTGTGTTATTTTTCGAACATTATGAATTAATATTTATTGTAGTTGTTGTGTTTCTGAAACTTGCTCAGATGCTGGATAATGACGCTGGACATAAGGTCCTATTGTAATAATTTTTAAAAATAGTTGAAGTGATTTTAGATATAATTGTATGTTTCAGATTAATCTTGGCAGTTTGATGATTTAAGATACAGAAAAAATGTCCTATCTGCTTGTCTTTGTCCTTCTTCACAGTAACTACATCAATAAATAAAATTGATTCCTATATATTCTTCGACTTATTTGTTTAGTATTTTTATTCATTATTTTTTGTTACCATTTTATTGTTTTTACACTAAATCTTCGCAAAGAACTGAGGAGTTTAAGAACCTTTGTCTAAAAAAAATATTGCCTGACAAATAGTTGAGATTTCGTTTTAAAGAGCTGGCCTTCTGAAACATTTATAATTTCCCCTACTTCCAAGCATCATCAACCAAATTCTTCATCAAAACCTCATCTAGATAAGAATGTAAGAATCTCTGACCCTGCAGCTTTCATATGCAACATTAAAACAGAATCCAAGAACAAATTCAGGTTTCAAATTGCTGCAAAAAGAACTGCAAAAACAAATTGAGGTTTCAAATTCAAAGATTTCATTCGCAGCACAATAACTTACGTTAATTATTTTCATTGAAACTTACTGTAAAAATTACTAGAAATGAAGTACGATAAAATCGATAACGATGTAAGAAATAACAATATAGTATTTTTTCCTGATTCATTAGGCTGGGGGGGGGGGGGGGGGGTAATGGAAAAAACTCAGAAGCTATCTACACATGTCTCCGTTCGATTAGATTTCAGATAGAAATTTTCAATTGGAAGTATTTGATAAACTTTAAAAAGAGAAATAAATTGGTAAAATTGTAGAATCGCGATTTGAAGGTATAGCTTATATTCGAGTTTTTGTTTTTGTTTGTTGAACTCAAGGGGCCAATCATTCCGAATTATCAACCTTCGTTAATTTCTTTTTCAATTCTGTTTAGATTGATGAGAATGAGAAGTTTTTGTTGACGGATTGTATGATTTTAAAAGTACGCAGGGAAAATGTTTTTATTCAATGTTTATCAAATCGATTCGAGTGTTTGTCTTGAAAATGTCAAACTTGAATTTGCTTACTGAATTTTGAATAGAAAATCAAAAGGTTTGGGTTAGAAAATAAGTGTTTTACTGGAAGCTGTTTTTTTCTTTAGTTTTGTTTTATGAGTTTAAGGTTTCTCGGATATGCGCTACCCCAATTGTCCGAAGTGTTTTGGTCCAAAGTGCAGGAGATATGGTTCCTCTTTCGTTAGTGTGAACACCGTGCTCCTCCGTAGCGCAAACTATATAAGGCCTGTCACAGAATCAAAGTTCAGTTGCAAACGTCAAGATGGCGAAGTTTGCAGGACTTTTGTTGCTGGCAGTAGCAACTGTATTGCTGAGCGACAATGCTGAAGGATTTGGAATGTTGAGAGTGGGAGGCACGGGAAAGGAGAGACCAGCAAATGAGAAGATTCAACACCTTGTTTCGAAGGTACACCGAAAAAACAGGGCCTCTTCATTTACAAGATGTTTTATGTTTTTATGGTCTTTAACTTTTCAGCAGCTTTCAATATTCAATATCTATGGTTTCGATGCGACAATGTGATGATTGATTAGAAAATTGATGTTTCTTACCTGGTAGAAATATAATTTGCAGGGAATTTTAATATTATGTTGGTTGTATAGGCCTAAAGTTTCAATATGTAATTACAAAATATACGCAATTCAGTTTCATTTTCGTTTTATTTTGAATTGAAAAAATGTATATAAGGCCTAAGAAGGGATTCTAGAAATCGAGACAGCACAGGTCAAGAATAGAATTGTCCTTTAATCGATACGAAATTGAGAATATATAAATCTAGAAGATCTATTATTGACAACTTTTTAGAGCAAAAGTTGTAATTAATATTTTCAGTTTGATGTTGTATATAGACAGTATAGACAAGACTGCAATGGGGTAATGAGGGGGGACCCCTCCAATGGCAAAAGATATCTTTGAATAGGGGTGTTTTCTGTCATTCAAAAGAGTATAGACCCCTAATTTTTCCTGGCTCCACTCACCTTTGTCCTCCAATCTTATCAGCCTAGCTATGCTACTGCAGGGCTGTACAAGCTGTTCAAGCTGGAAACTCTGTTTGGTGTTTATGTATTGCCTGGCTACTGATTGATGCAGTCTGCCGTTCTGCTATCTTTCTTGGGGGTTTTTACATGGAGAAAAATTACATGGATGTGCCTGCAAGAGAAAATTTTATGACCCTGTCCTGGAATAAATTTCTGAGAACAATTTTGAACTTCAGCTAACAATGAGGCCTTGTTGGCAGTCAGTGACTTAAGTAACCTTTGACTTAAGTAACCAAGTAATGCTATCGTTGCATTTGTTTTAGTATTCTTACTTGACTGGAAAATGTCTTGGTAAACAAACTTGAGTTAGCATATCTTCTTATATTGGCTCACAAATTTTCTTAATGTTTTAGTTCAAAGAGGGCAAAAAGTCTGTGTCTGATATCAAATCTCATCTCTTTGAGGGTTAGCAGAGACTGTAGATAATGAACTCAAACTAACCAAGAAGTCTTTCAATGTGAATTTAACTAACAGGATTTCAAAATATCCTTGCTTTGAAGTTTCACCATATTGGATCATCAAAATGACAGCAAAGCCTAAAAAGTGAAATTTGTTAAATTCTTAGGAATTCCTTTTGTTGAAGTATGCTCGCCAGAGAATTCTTTCAGTTTCAAGTTTTAGTTTCAGTTTCAGATTCCAATCTAAAAATTTAACTAAAATAAGTGTACAAGACTATAATAAAATAATTATAAATCAGCTAATGCCCAATAGAAATGAAAAGGAGATTGTACAGCGATTTTGTTTTCAAATATTTATTTAAATTTAAATTTTTTTAACTGGGACATTTTGATTAACAAATTAAAAAATGTAAGTGGTTTTAGTTGGAAGATATCATAATTTTAAGAAGCTTAATATCTTAAAGAGGTTGAGTGGTATGATATATCAAGACTTTCAACAGGGGAAAAGTACCAAAAAGAAGGGCAAGGCACTAACATCCATGGCTCTAGGCAAGCAACTATGGCTCTAGGCAAACAGTTTTTTGCTAATTCCAATCAGCAACCTCGAAACAACTAAGCTAGACAATTAATTAATTACCTGTATTCATCAGCTCTGCAGATTTCTTCATCAATTGAATGCCAACTATCTTAAAAGTTTGATAGGCCTACCTATGGATGATGTCAGGAAAAACCTCTAAAATTATCCTCTTCATTTCATGTATTTTAAAGCTTTGTTTCAATTTATATCAAGAAATTTAAAGCTCTTCTTTTTATCCTCATCTTTTAATTTTTTCTAGATGAAAAGTAAAACAGAGGAGTTTTTGGATCGAAAGTTTGACAAGTTTGTGGGAGTATCTTACAAATCACAGATAGTTGCTGGGACAAATTATTTCATCAAAGTAAGTCATCCAAAAACTGTAAAGCATTCAAGAGTGTATCATTTCTTTATCTAAGCATTAGAAATAATTTCCTGCTGATGTTAATGCTCCTTATTTTAGATCAGATTAAGACCTCTCCAGATTAATGCTTTTAATTATCTATAAAAGTATGAAAGTAATTACCTATGAAAGAAAGTTTGGAACTGCAAACACATAACTTTTTATGGCACTCATATGTGGTTTATAACAAGCCAGAATCAGTGAAACAAGATCATTAAGTCCAGTAGCTAATTGGATAAAGGCATTGATGAAAACTATGCTGGATTGGCGACTCAAGAAAACAGAAGATTTTAGAGGTTTTGGAAGCGCTAGGGCAAAACTAAAAGACAAGGCCCTCTGGGACAAATACAAACTGAAAGACGTCTTAAGTGGCCCCTTCCCCTTGCGAACTCAATCATTTTTCTTTGTTTTACTATTGTTTTGCCCTTATTTGGCACTTTTCCCCATTGCTCTCTTCGAGTGTAGGCTTCACTTACTGGTGTCTGTACCCCACATCCCCAGTAACTATGAACCAGGTATGATGGTTATCTTGAATGCAAGTAGATTTTCATAAGATAGGAGAAACATTGCAAGCTCCCTCACTGACCAACTAATTGATGTTTGCAATAATTATAAAAAAATCTTTGGTTAGAGGAAAATATTTTAATAGGGTCTTTTTCGGGCTCGTTTGAAATCACGTGGCAAGCATAACAAAAAATAAAATTTAAGTGTCAAACTAGCACTTGGATGATACGCTTTTTAAGTATGGAAAAAAAAAATTGTATGTGTTTTATCCTTAATTAACTCATTTCTATTGTAGGTGAAAGTTGATAACAACGAGTATGTACACTTGCGTGTGTTTGTGCCCCTTCCATTTATGCGTAGTGAACCTCAACTGGCAAATGCATTAGATGGCAAAGAGAAAACAGATCCTCTGGAATATATAAACTCCGCCAATTGATTGAATCAAAAGGCACAAAGAAGTCAAAATAAAAAGCTTATTTTATAGAGATTTTCTGTTGCTAGAAATGCTTTCGCTCTATTCCTGTAAGGTATAATTTCTTGAAAATTGTTGAATCGCTTGCTAATTGGGAGATAAATTATTATTTTTTTACTAAAATTGAGAGCTAGTATGTTTTTTGATTGATGAATATATAATATGTAAAATTTATTTTTTATAATTTTCAAGTCTAACTTTTGTAACTAGAGTGTTTCTTATATTTGTCCCTTCCCACGTTAGCTCGTATTTTCGTAACCACATTCGTTTCCTATCCATATTCATTATCGTGTCCATATTCGTTTGACATGCACTGGCATGCTCAGGCTTGGGAACATGAGTAGCGCGCATTGCCGCAAGCTCAGCCAAACGCGTGTCTACTTGCACAGCAATGCGCACAGCTACACTTAAAGACATGCACAGCCACACGCAAATTCACACGCTCACGCAAAGCACGTTTAATTTTCGGACAGAAAATTTCAGACAAAAAAGTCTTGAACTCAGACAGTTTCGGAGTAAAATTTCGGACAAAATCGAAAAGACCCCAAGAAATTTCAGATAATATCTTCAAATTTCATAACACAACACAGTAATATGATCTCGAACAAAGCACAAATGATTAAGCATCTGAACATTTTGCATTTTGATCTGATCTGATTTGTTTCATACAAGCCAATACAAGCCAATCAACCATCTTGCATGTACAGACTTGGTAGATATGATTCCGAACTTCTTGCTTACAACACAAACAGTTCTTAGTTTTATCTGAACAACTAAAAGTGAATCTGAAAACGCAATCAAGTTTTCAGATAGTTATTGGCTGCATTGGCTGGCATGTGTATTGTTATTTCCAAATATTGCCTGGCTTTAGTGGCGGATTTTAGGGGGGCAACTAGGGGTATTTGCCCCTCCCTCAACGAGTTTAAGCAAGTCTGGCGCCCCGTTTATAGAAATTGTGCGCCCATTTTGAAAAATGAGAATCAGATGACAAAGGTTCTTGGACCGATAGGTTAATTTGCTCCAAGGATTACCTCAAAGTTATGTTGTTTATTCTGAAAATGGATCTGAAATTGTTGTATACAGCGTACTCTCGTAATCAATTTTTGAAAATTGTTCAGGGCCCCCACAACCAACTGCCCTTCCTTCAAATTTGCTCTGGATCCGCCCCTGCCAGGTTTTGAATCTGCCACCCGCATCTGCTATTCCTTTCTTTTTCCCTAATTGGAAAATCAAATGACGTGATGATGGAATATTTCCGTATTTCCCCCTGATTATCATTAAGTTTTTGACGATTTTGATGTTGAGTTCAAACGAGAAAGGTGGTTACCTCCATTTACAGGTTATAGGGAGGCGTTTATTACACAGGCGCTTAATCAAACTTTTGTCTTTGCTGTTGCGAAGGAGGGTAGCCTGAAGACGAGACTTAGTTTCTTAGAAACAAAATGGCATCGGCGGGAGGGAATGTAAATGATGAAGGTAAGCAGTCCTCTATGAGGAGACAGAATTTTTCCCAAAGAGTTTTTATGATATTAACTACCTACATCAACATTTTGGCGCCAATGCAGTAATGTACCTCTTGCCAAAATTTGAAAGTTTTTTGTCTTTGGCATGCTCATGCTGTAATTTGTTCTCGGTTCAGAAGTTTATTTGTGATACCTCCTTTTTAGCTAAACTTCAGACAGATTCTTTACTGGCTTTAGGAAAATCCATTTATATCGTACCTAGATAATTTTTTAGACAGTAAACCCTGCATAATGGAACTACAGCTTTCTGTAACAGGCTAAAGTGGCCATGTTTTCACATAATGGTTCTCTAAATGAATGTCAGCACAGAGTTTCTTAATTTGCAGTTTCATTGTACTGGTTTTTACTGTATTTAGGAAACTGTTGGTATTTTTGAAACCAAATTTAAAAGTTTTAAAATTTATTTTTCTAATGTCATTATTGTACCATTCTGTTATTGAGGACTTGCATACATTCAAGAACATGTTTCCTTTTCACATTTTCTATAGGAAGTAAACCAGGGTATGAATACTAAAAGGCTACTTAGTAGATTATAATCCAATAAACTTATGGTTGCTGTTAGTAGCCAGTTTGTGTTTACTTTATTTCTATGTGGGGAAGTCCATTGAACAGATAATTTATCTGCCATTTATAATCATTATAATCCCTTGAATGCAACGAAATGCATCTTATACTTTGGGAGAAATGCAGTCAACTAACTATGGTTTTTGAGGTGCATTCTATGATTTCTACCACTTATCAAAGGAAGAATGTCTTGAAATTGAAACTAATCGAAATCGAATTAATATAGCTAAGAACAACTAATTCAGGAATCCCTGTATGCCAGGACGAAGTATTAGCGATCACTGATTTGTGTGTTTGTTGTTTATTCTCATTGTGTTGTGGTGTTCCTTATATACTACTATTTTTATCGATTTTTCGCCGCAAGATTTCCTCCTGAGTCCTTCGAGCAGCCTGCTATTGCGGCCTCTCCTTTATTCGCACACAACTAATTCATGCCTGCCATTTTTGAATATTTGCTGTAGGAAGATAGCACCATGTTAAAATCATCCCCATGAATTAAGTGTGCAAAACAAATATTTCAGTTGTTACAGACAATCAGTATTATCTACCCAAATCCTGGTTCTTGAATTGGTATTACATTCCTATTTACTATTAAGCTCAGTAAAGGATATTGGCTAGGAAACATGAATGAATCTATGCTCATCATCTCAAGTATAGGAATTGTAAGTGGTCACTTCAAGAGGAAGGACCGGGGTATTGCTCGATATAGCTTCTCTTTGTCTTTAGAACAGCCTTCAACAGCTTGATATTAACAAACAATGCAAAAAATACATCAAAATTGCACCTATTTCATCTATTTTATGTTGCCTTTGTTCCATCTTATGTATCTGGAGCAATAATTGTGACACATGTTAGCATCTTAGAGAGAAAAGACAAATGTTTAACAAAGAGAAATTGTAATGAGAATTCATTGCTGGCCATGAAAAACTATTGCTATCATCAATTTATTGTAATTGCCACTTTTAAGGTAGAGATATGTTGGTAGCTTTATATTGTACTCTAATAATGCTTGATTATATTTTGACCATGTTCTGCTTTTCACAGATGTACCACCCCTTGAAGATATGTCAGACATTCTACAAAATTTTTCAGAGCTAGGATTGCAAAAAAGGCTACTGCAGAATAAAGTTGGACAAAAGATCAATTATTTAGAAGCAACTGAAACAGAAGAAGCAACCAGAATACATAGAATTCAAGAGCTTCTTGGGAAAGAGGAGCAAAATTCTAATCTCCAATTATCAGAAAAGACCAAAAAAGTCTCTAGTAGTGAGGTTTGTTTCTTTTCAATGCTTGATGCCTTGGAAATAGTTTAAAAAGAGGAAATATCATTTAGATCACTTCTTCCTGAGTGGAATATCATTTTGTGTTGAACCTTACTTCGAGTAGAGCATCAAAAATAGATGTGAATTTGGCTGAAATAAGGGAGTTTGCAAAAATGGTTAAGGAAATGCCTCTTCTTGTCTGATCTATTGCACAGCCTTTTGCAAGGAACTAAAGCTAAGAATTCAATTCTCTGCCCTTAGAAATGAAATGTCATTGGGGATGGAGAGGCCATTGCTTCCTAGGTAGTATGTTCAAGATACACTGATATATGTTTTCTCTGATTTGTTTGTTCTTACTTATTAGTGAACTGTAATGATAAATATTTGTCATGATGATGACTGTTACTGATGCATGAGCTTACTTTTTATACATATTTGAAATTTGCTGGCTTTGTTGTTTACTTACTTTCTCTTTTTCAAAACCAGGCTATCAGTAGCAAGCCAAAGAAAGCAGAGGCTAGCTTTGGTGGTTTTAAGAAAGGCTTTTTGCTTGCAAGTCCTAGCAAAAGTGATGTTAAGAAAAAACCAACCAATGATAGAAATAAGGGAATGCAATTGGAGGAAGTGAAACAAAAAGCAGATAGTGGAAAACAAGACCCTCTTTTACTAGGTGAAGTTCAAGAAGCCCTTCAAAGTCAAGTGCCTCTTCTTCAATCAAAAGGTGAGTTCAATAAGCAATGCCTTAACATTTCTGGAGATTACAAAGTAGCAATGCTATAGCCAAAAGGCCCCAGGCAGTACAATAAGAAAAACAGGATTAATGGGTGGCATCAATTATTTGGGAACAATAGAAAAAAGATTTCATTGTTTGGGAACAAGTTTTATCGCAATGCAGTCCCCAAGAACAACAGTAGCTACAGCCCTGGTCTTAGGGATTGTACCCCCTTAAGAATTTTGCATTTTGAATGAATCTAAAGGTGAATATTCTTTAATTACAGTAAGGCTCAATCTGCATTCCCCATGTATGCTCCCCATGTAAAACATTTCACCTCACTTTGATTTTATCATTGTGCTTCCATAATAGCTTGTATCCATTTCAACAGGAATGTCACATAGGAGCTAAAGTTAATACTTTATCAAAAAATTGAAGTTTTAGCAGACGCTACTTCCCAATTCTCTATGGTTGAGTTTTTTCAACTAATGTTTATTGATCATTGGCAACCCTCGCAGGTGCAATTGCTTGCTACGGGGGCATGCAGGTAGACTATTTCCCCAAACGTTCACTCAGGGTGTTCGTTGTAATTCCACGAAACTCAGTGAAAACGTGTTGACTTTAGAGAGCTGTTGTATCCTCTTCCCCATGCAACATGAAATTTTATTGATTGTATTGTCCTTCTCAATAAAAGATCTTTCTTCTAACATTTGAAGGACGCATTTTCAAGAAATATGCGCTCGGATCCCTTGCAAATTTCTAGAATGAAAATCAAAACCAGAATGGAACAAAAAATCTATTGTGTAACCAACAGCTAAGTCGTCATTGACAGAAGGCTGTGTATGACTGAAAGTGTCTCAACGTAAATAATCTTTCTGTGGATTTCATCCCAATCTCAGTTACACCCTTGGTAACTATACCTAACTCATGTTGCTCTTGGCCAAACCCCTCCCCCCCCCCCCCGCCTTAGTAAATCAGGTATGGCAACGAATCTTGATTGCAGATGTGTTCGTCTTGGAAAATGTTCGTCCATGAATTCAAGGTCGTCCTTGAACTTTCTTCAATATCCAGTTTTTTGGTTGGTTTGACTTAACAATCTTTGGCTTGTCCCTCAATTGCTTATTAACTCTTATCCAAATTTTATTTATTTTCAGAATGGATCACAGACGATCTTCTCTCGAAAGTGGCAAAGAACCCCAAACTCCTTAAGCAGTTGGAAGATCCAAAATTTTCTGAAGCGTTAGCAGCTTTTCAGAGCAATCCTAAAAGCATTGCACTTGTTATGCAAAAGGACCCTGAAGTGAGGGAGTTCATTCAAGACTTCTGTGCGCTTCTAGGAGATCATTTCACTCAACTTGGGGAAAAAGAAGGATTATCTGTAGGTTAATGATTATATCTTTATTCTCTGAGATTTCAAAGATCTTCTGTAGCAGAGCCAACATATATAAAAATCAATTTTTTTATTGTTTTATTATATTAAGTAAAGGTTCCGTTTTGAATGAGAATTTAAGAAATGTATCAAAAGGGAAAAGACTACATTGTATTTACCATTCAGAGTGGGAGAGGTTGCGTCATTGAGTTTCAATCATGACATTACTCAATTAGCCCTGCCCCATGTAGCACCCCTGGCTATTTGGCAGTCAGCAGCAGCCAAATGTTTTTGCTGTTTTTGCAAAATTGTCATCTAAACTGTTTGTTTTCTTATCATGAACAATCTTAGTAACGACATAGGTTCCATGATATCCCAGCAAAATTAAGTTTATATACTGTGTTAAAGCGCAATACAAGCTGTGGAAAGCGAGAACATATGTGGATAGGAATCATCTGGTAAATTTTGTATAGGCTAGCGACACTGATATGGCAACCTTTACCGTGCTGCGCTCGCTTTTTCATAAAGAAGCTCAAAACAGAACAGTCGCCAGATGATTGTAATAAGCGTGAAACAAGGAGTAGCAACCTACAAATGTCCTGTTCTGTACACCAAAGCGTCAGTTCAGCTCTGCCAATACGACCATTTTACATCAGACCGGTGAAAAATCGTCATTAGAAGCGCAAAACATTTTGATCTCTAAGATAATTGATAAGTCGTGATCATCAAAGTTCATCTCTTTATTCGGTTTTTTTTCATCTTCTTTCTCGTTAGTAATCGCCATCTTTATCGTTTTGATGAGACTTTTTACCTCGAGATCGGAATTACATTCGGTTTGTCTCCCAGAAAGATAATAGGTCGCCTCTGATGATGGTTTTTTCAACATTACACGCCAGTGTTTATCATGAAAGAAATAAATTATTCTCTCTTTCAATGTATTAATATTTGCAATAGTCCTATGCTCATTTCTGACAGTTTTTATTGTTTTTTAATTTGTTAATAGTTTTTATGATTTCTTGATTATTTCATCTGCTATTCTATTGCTTTTCGTTATTTCCTACAAGTTTTGTCCCATTATTTTCATAATTATCTTATAATCGTAATAACTTACAGTGATTAGAATGATTGTTATATACTTATGTTTGATAATAAACAGTAAATTCCTCTGGTTCTATCTATTCTTATTTTCTTTTGGCTAACAAATATCTCAGAACCATTTTGTTTTTATGATTAATATCAAGCGAATATTAACCAGAAAATGTTTACCAGTCATCTATAGAACTATAAAAATATCGAAGAAAGATCTCCAGTTGTAATGAAATGCCCGAATAAAGGTAAGCTCTTTCGAGTATCAGTAACTTAATTAAGATGGTCTTGAAACTAATGCTTATTTTTCAGAAAAAGCCTAAAAAAGCATCCGAAACACTGGTGGCCAACTCATCACGACGCATTTTTCCAAACCCACCAGGAAACGTTAATGCTGAAGACGATGAAAAGTTTAAAAGGATTATAAATGATCCAGCGATACGAGATATCCTGTCTGATCCACAGATTCAAAATTTGATTACTGTGTTGAAGGAAAGGCCTGAAGCAGCCCAAAGGTATGCTACTTTAGAAACTTTGTGGGCGTACTTCTTGGTAAACTGAAACCCAGTGTTGTATTCTCTTCGGATATTGAAGTTTTCCCAAGACTTAGCAACTGATCTGAAGATAGATGGTTAAGCTTTTTGAAGGGAATGAAGCTTTAACCATCTTTTTTCATAAGTTTCTAGGTAAACAGCTAGTCTAGTTAGTTTCATTTTGCAATCAGCATAGGCGAAAAGTTTTGTTAACCTCATGTCTGTCTTTGATTTCACATTCAAGCTAAATTCTTTGAGAGAACAATTTGTTCACCGTATATGACAGCCATACAGTCAGCGTTAGAATACCAATTATTCAGTGTATTCCGATGACACTATGATAGTAACCCTTCTTCAGTGAGCAATAAAGAAAAGGCTAGATGCCTTGTGTATTCAAAAGTATTGATGTAGTACTAGAAAATATTACTAAGATTGGGGTATTCTCTCCTTGTATTTCTCTGAGAGGGTAAATAATTCAGACGAGATTGTTGTAAAGTATAATATTTTTTTGTATAGCTGATTCTCGTTAGGCTTCATATTTTTCAAACTGATGTTTTATTCTTTTGTTTTTTCAGAGCATTAGCTGAACTTGGACCAGAATATCATGGAAAAATCCAGCGTCTCATCGCGGCTGGGCTACTTGCGGTGTCCAGGTAGCACTGACAAGGTTGTAGGAGTCTTTTTATGGTGAGCACCTTCAGATTTTCTCACGTGTTTAATCTTAAAAAATATCTCAAGGGAAGCAATAGCACACAAGGGCAGATTCACCATTACTCAGATACTGTTTCACTCACGTATAAATATATAGAACGTGCTTATAACATTAGTCTCCAGGCAAAAATACTGTCTTTTAGCCGTGTTTTTTGAGAAACCATAGTACTGGTTACCCTCGACCAATAGAACCTGCTCGAAAGTGATTCTATTAAAAATGGGATCAAAGTTTTTATTTTAAACGATTAGGTGTCTATTTCTGGTACAACTGAAATAGAAAATTGAAAAAGAGCTATTTGCTACAGATTAGATATTCTATATCATGTTATTTGATACTACACTTTTGTGTTCTAAAATGAAGCTTTCTAGCACTTGGCATTAAAGGAATCTTTGATGAAGTTTTAGTATCAAAATGACTAATAAATTAAGAAACAGTGTACTTTTTCTGAGCTTAGTTTCTTATAGGAAAATCCCTGTATTTGTAAGTTCTAGTCTCTGTAGATTACAGAAACCGCGGATGCGTGGGGGGAGGGGGGGGGCTATGGGGAAAATTATGGGGTTCCCCAATAATTTCCAAAATATACTGAAAGTCATTCAAAAATCGCCCTGCTTTTGGTTCTAGCATGTCTAGTCCCACCAAAACGTTTTAGTCCCCTCAATCTGTAATATGCTCCGCGGTCGTTAGTAGATCGAAGTAAGATAATGAACTGCAATGGCATACCACGCCTATATACCAAACTACAATTACATACACCAAGCCTTCATTTCAAATCTGGCTCTTTGACGGTAAGTCTGAATCATTCGATGCTTTACATCTACCCATAGTCAATTTTCATCTTCGCCATGTTGTTTTTGTGTACAGTGTTGTTTTCAACCACGAAGTCCATCCCAAAGTTAGACGTTTTTCCGTTTGTGGTAGGCAAGTTATCTTAAACACATTTTAATCGAAATCTCATTGATCCTTCGAAGTGCTTTGTTTTATTTTATATTTCATTTTGTAAGCTTATTAAAAACCAACCAAAAGAAAATTAATTCCGTGATTCATTTCTGCATCCTGAATTGATAGATTGGTCTCATGCTTTTTTGTTATCAATTTTAATTTATTAAGTTTGGTAAATGCAATTTTGTATGACTATATGGCCTCTGCGTCAGTCGCCACAAAACCAAAGCTGTTTCTTCTCAAGGGAAAATTATTCACCATATGTTGTATTTGTATCGAGCCAAGATAATCAGAGATATTTTTACTCATGTTTTTAGTATGATGTCTTTTGAATATCCTTTAGTTGAGCAAGGCAGTGAAGCGATTTTTTGAGCAGCGTTATAGATTAGAAGGGCGTGATGTTTCTTGTTGCAATAGACTTCGGTTAAAGTCGCATGAAACGTTTTGTGACTGAAAGCGGAGTGTGACTATAAATGGAGCTACAAAAACTGTTGAAACTTTTCAAGAAAAGTTTATATTTTTTCTTTACTTTAAAATCTAGTTCTACCGCCCCCCATTACGATTTGCAAATTGTTAAATGTATCTACTTTTTCTTTCCGGTTCTTTCATCTTCGCTCATACGTAAATTCTAAGGCTACAGAGCCTAATTTTGTAGGTAGCATTCCTCATTGGTGGTGTGATGTGTCGTGGGATTTTTTCGATGTTAAATATTCCATGGCCTAAAAAAGATTAGTGCATCATTTATTAAATTCAATTTGAAATCGCTTCAGTGGTTTTACGCGAAGCAGATAAGAGTCGCAGTCATCGGTGTTCGGGCTAGGGTGGGAGGCGTTGGGCTGTGTCCCCCTAGATTTTGGGACGTGGTTATTGTCAGATAAGACGAATAACTGGGGACACAGCCTTGCAGAGGGCAAAAGGCAAGAGCTTCACAATAAGAGACTCGTGATTCTGTTTAAGTGCAAGGGCGGGAGCCGTGTTCCCTTCATCCAGATATCATTTCTAACAAGTCTCTTTTAATCCAAATCAATCAAAATAGACAAGACTGCTATTGTAGGTTCTCTTAGGTATGACATGACTGTTTGCTACTGTATTTATGTACAAGAATAACTTGAACATTTCAATTAAAGATTTACAGGCTGTTAACTTTTAGACGGAGGTGTAGTGCTATGAAGTATGCAAGGGGGGCTCTCACGCAAAAGGGTGCAAAGAACAACAGCAAAGGTGCAAATTGGTTCTTTTCATCCTTAGCAAGTCAGGCTCAGCCTTCCTAGAACCACACCCTTGCTTTCGTAATGTCAACGGATAAAACTTCATGTGTTTAGAATGGTACTGAAAAATGCAAAAATAGGGTGTTTGTGCACTGTAGAAGGACTCAGTTCCAGATTTTGACTCCAAGAACATTGAACTTTACTACTTAAGGAGAAGGCTCAGATTTATTATAATCAATATTATTCCAATCCTCAAACATGACTAAATTGGATGAAGTTTTTTAGAATTTGTTGGGATGGAAACGCTAATGATTTAAACTTTTCGCTAATTAATGTGGCTAGATCTAGTTTGACTTCACCCCGTGTAAATTGTGAAATGGTACTTTATTCAGACCAACAGCGCTCAGCCATTCTACGCGAGTCCGGGCCGTACGCCTTCAATCACAGTTGATTCTGCAGGGCATACTGTGCTTTCAGGCAGGCAGTGGTTTACAGGTACTCTACAGCCACTCCGCCCAGTGGCTAAGAGTCAATTGACTGGAACTGTTTTCATGCTGACCAAGGGCTTTGTCTATTTGATGAGCCTTTGGGCCTTAGGCCCTCTTTCCGTCGTAGGACTTTGGCGCTTGAAAATTTGTTAGAGAAGCCGAAATTAAAAATGTGCAAAAATGTAATACACTTTTTAAAGGGAACACAATTTGGACCCTATTTCAACCGACACTGTTTCTTTGTTTAAAGTACATATCACATTTGCATCGCATATTATTAATCTTACACTGCATCAACCTATGAGTAATGGCCTAGAAAAATCTTCATCACGAAACATCTTCATCACAAAATCTCTTCTTCACGAAGATAGACATGATATAAGAAACGCTATTTCATGAAAACACTTTATTCACAAAAAACTCTTCGTGATGAGAAAATTTTGTAAAAAACGAAACAAATTCAAGCTGGATGAGTGTACATCGAAATTTCACCCTTAACTTGTTTTCTCAAAGAAATTCAGATACATAATAAGTCAAAATGTCGATAAACTTCAAAGTATATTATTATTTTAATTAATTTCATAAATTTCACCAATTTAAAGCCTCAATATTCTTATAACTATTTTCTTTTAAAAAGTGTGTATTTCTGCAAATCTTAAGTCATTCACATCAATAAGAAATTCTTTGTGATCAACTTAATCTACATAAATTTCCTCATAGATCTAACTCCAATTTAATTTCGAAGATTTAACCGCAAGCAATGATTTTTCCCCAAATTAATTCAGAGTCTAAAAAGCAGCTTACGTGCTCACAAATTGAGTGCTCACAAAAGCGATATTCACAGACGAAAATGAACAAAAACCATTGTCTCTTTGTTGTCTATATTATATCAAACTTGTCTATTGCATGCCTTGACGTAACTGATTGATAATAATAAGAAATAGTTAATTATTTACAAAAGAGACGAGTCATCGCGGATTAAGGGTTTCGGTTGCGGGGAAATGCCGCTTTTACTATGTGTGGGATAAACGTGAGATAAGATTTCAGCGTAAAGAATATTTGAACGAGCAACAGTGAGTCAGAGTTCTTCTTCTAATGTTCCTTGCTACCCGCAAGTTTGAAAGAAGCTCAGCATCCTGTTTTGTCGAGTTGTTCACCTGCTTGAGTTTAAACCCAACCCACTTTGCGTTTTGTGGCCAACAAACGGCGACTGCAAGACTACAAGCAAGTCATCTGCCCTTTTCCTGCTGAAAAAGTCACATTTTAGTCCTAATTTGAATCCAGCAATGGCTGAAGTCAGTAAAAGAGGTAGCCGAAGCACACATGGCTTGGACGATGTTATTTTGGAAACGTCAGAGTCCGATTTAAAAGCGATTCGCAATGAAACCGCCGAGCTCATGGACAACTTTGTAAGATTATTTTCTTATTTACCTTTTTTATTTCCATATTGGCGAAGATCATTGTAATCTATTGCTATTGCTAATTGGATATATACACTGCAGCTTGCTTTCAAGTCATATTCACAGTCATCGATATCTTCATTCGAATAAAGGAAGGGGGAGAGGGGTTTGTAGTTGCGGCTTGAATAAGATTGCGGCAACATTTTTGAAATACATACCGCCGGGTATGTTGTTGGAAACCTTGTGAAATGTTGTTGATCATTTCAAAAATTTTTACAGTATATTACGACATTAACCGTACTCTGTATAGTTTGTATATCAAAATAAACCTCTTGTGATATTTAGGCCGGGTGATATTTAGGTCGAAAGTGGGGGTTCATTCGTGCCCCCTGAACTTTTTTAAGTTAGCTTTTAATCAATGAAGAATGTTGACTGGGATGTTTCTCTTTTGTACAACAATATTACTTTTCAGACACAGGTTCACGTTTCAAAACCCTCTTCACTTTGAGTATTGACACGTAGGAAAGTGTTCGCTTTCATGCAGATAGTTTATCGTCGTATGGATGTTGCTCGCAATACGATACCACAACAATCACAGAAATATTTGACCTGTCGCTAAGCTAATTTTTTTAAGTAGGTGCTGAAATATGTTAATCCTTCAATTCTTTGCATATGTAGCTAACTCTTTGAATGTTATTTTTAAAGGCTATCAGATTAACATACTACTAAGGGAACAATTACTGTTTTTCGTGACAACAAATTCATGTCTTCAACCACGACGGTTTACTACGAAGGAGTATTGTTTTGGTAACTGCCCAAGCCAGTGTCTAGAACATTCTTTTTCGCAGCATTCCATTTGGAATTTCCTCGGGGCTCTTATCTACCCAGTCTAGGACTTTAATAGCTAGATTTCCTGTAGAAATTCTTTGAAATGTTGTAATTGTCTGCTTTCCTGTCTCCTCGAGAGTCTCTGTATACTTTTCCCACAGTTTATTCATATTCCTCATCGCCTCCTCTCCGCATCGAGGCTCGTATTGCATGCACAGCTCATTACGTTCTGACTAGAGATGTATTTCTTTTGGCTTTTCCAACTCGTTCTTGACAGTATTAATTTCTATCAGTTTTTATTTGTAAAATTGTTTGCGGCAAACAGTGACTGCTATATTTTTCAAATATTTTCAAGAGAACACCTGAAATTTTCCAACTTGTGTCTTTTCTTAGTTGTTTTTGATAAGGAAATATCAGAAAACGATTGTCAACCAGAAACCTTGATTTCTAGAGATTTTGAATTTTTTTACAGGGCGAATTGCCTTTCTTTTATGTCTGTTCTATTCATTTGCCACCCACATCTAATTTACCACCATGGTCCTCCAATATTACCCGGAAAACCAAACAAGACTAAATACCTTTAATGAGCAAGGTCAATTTCTTCTTTTTCTATTCGCTCCCTTTTCGCCCCATTTTTAGGTACGTGCCGTGTTCCCTCTAATGAACGCCGCCCTCTGATGAACGCTACCATCTATTAAACGCCCCATCCAAAAATTTGATTTGTAATAAACGCCGCTGCATTCTTTAGAGGAAAATTGTATTGATAAACAGAAATAGAAGGTAGATTATCCAAATGTTGGCGACACCATTTCATGATAGCAGCCATTGATTACCAAGCACAGGTTGTTGTTTTAGCTGCATGCCTTTGTTTGAAGTCACTTTCCAAACTGCACCCTTTCTAGCTGTTATTTGCAATAACCTGCTTATTTTATCAGCCATCACAAAATCAAGCTTCATTAATCAATCAACGTTAGGCGATTACGTTTTGCTTCGGAGCATTGCTTCTTCACCCCTATTTTCTTTGCCTTACTTTTTTATTTACTCTTTCCACCTTTCGATTTTCTAAGTTGTACATTTATAAAAAAGTAGACTTTTAGGTGTAGAGATTAGAAGAGCCAGGGAGCCATCTCTTTGATTAGGAAAGATTAAATGACCTCCCGGCTTTGTTCAGCTTTTAAAGTTGCTTATATATGTTTATGTGGAATGTAAAACTCTAATAAAATTCTGATGTAACAGTAGTATGGGAATTCAGAAAAAATAGATTTAAGCTTTTTGTTTATTGTTACCTCGAATCACGGAAACTTTCACAAAAGGCGTAACCTGAGTAGTCTTCTCAGTTTTGGAATTTTTCTTAGGCCACACCTTTACTGATTCAATGTTGCTATATCATCTATCGATGAAAGGCTATGATACGGGAGAAAATTTCAAATAATGTCGATTGATGTTGTCACCGGGGATTTTGCATTAAATGTCAAGGTCAATCGACCAAGACAAGTAAATTGAATTTGAGAGTGTAAATTATTTCGCAAATTTTTTTGTCCGGATGTAAGAAGTTTAGTTTAGATGGTTGCTCTAGAAGCAGCTCTTCTGATAGGCTGAATCTCTGAATATTTTATCATTGCATATGATTGTTTACTGTTGACCATGTACTGTTGTGGCTTTACATTGTCTCCTTTACTCGCACATATAGTGAAGTTTCTAATAATGTCAAGGTGTTGTCCATTCATTCTTTAAAAGAAAGTTGTTCTTAGAAACTCAGAAACTCAGAAACTAAGGAAAAATCTCTTATCATGCAATTCATCATGAAGGCAAGGGGTTGCATCCTGCTCAAAATACAAGTTACCAGGATATTCCTGCTTCTGCCGTCGTTCTTGCATACATCATCACGTGATCTGTTGCACGTAACACCATATTTGATCATTCTGCTGTATCGTATGGAGAGTTTATTTGTTTATGTGTAATGGGTTCAGTGTTGGGATCCCCTCCACATGAACAGCGTCTCCTCTCCTCCCTCTCTGTTTCTCGATTTGCAAGAATGTGAATCAAAACAACTATGGCGAGATTAAATCGGGCTGGTGACTCCGAAACGCCATGTTTGGGTCCAATGCTATGTTTCTTTTGTCTCTTCATCTTTGTATGGTATCAAATTTGAATTTGACGCCTTGTGTATTAGGAGGAGCAAAGAGGTTAAAATTAACGTTCTGTTTTATATAAGCCTTTGTAATTATCAAGGGAATTAATATGATTTTCTAAGGCCCCGTTTACACGATACCGTTTTCATTTGATATCGGATTCATTTGATATCGTATTGGCCTTCTGTTAACACGAGAACGAATGAATCCGATATGTTTCATACCGTTTTTGCGTTTTCAAATGAAAACGATCTGAATGCGTTTTCAAATGAATCCGATATGCCTCTGTTCTCGTGTAAACAGCCGAATCCGATATGAAATGAAAACGATGCCTCATTATCAGAAACAGTCTCGTGTTCATTTGCACATTGGGCGCCTTTTTGAAAAACAAAATATTCAAAGATGTTGGAAATTCTTCCTCTGACTCTTTTGGGTACCTTTCGATAAACAATTCTTTTATTTTGTCATATTTTGATTTGATGCTTTCCCAATCCTTTCCTTTGTATGAGCATTGCGAAGAATGAGTTTTCTTTACTGTTTCCAGTAACAGTTCGATTTCCTGATCAGTCCATGTAAAAATATCTTCTCTGGTTTTCTCTTTCCCCATACTGAGTTAGTTTAGTTATAATTTCGCAAAGTTCTTGTTCCCTGAAAGCTTCGGATTTGGCGCCTAGATGGCTTCCTTGGCAAAATAACAAAATGCTACTGCGCAGAGAATATAGAACAAAGGCGAAATTCCCGCAGCGCCCACCCAAAACGTATTCGTGTAGACAGAGTCCCAATCCGATATGATATGAAAACGGTATCGTGTAAACAGGGAGAAATTGCATATCGGATTGGGAAACCGAATCCGATATCAAATGAAAACGGTATCGTGTAAACGGGGCCTAAATGTATCACTTTGTTTCAAGTAATGTTTTGTTTTGATGACGTGTGCCAGAAATAAGCACATTTACAAATTGTCAGAAAATTTGCAAATTGGTAAAAGCTGCCAATCATTTTCAAACCTGCCCCCTCGCCCCATGGTGATCCCAGCATTTCTGATTATGTCGATAAGTTTGTCTTAAAGTGAATACCCCTACGTCTAATTTCGAATTTTTTCTCCAATCTTGTGGTCAGAGATAAATTTGCAGGAGGGGTGTGGGGGGACGCGAACTCCCCCCCCCCAACATTTTTGTGTTTTTCGCCAAAATTTTCTTTCGATTCGGTATAAAGCATTTTGTGGTAGTCAGTAGTAACAAAAGTGATGCAAAAAAGTTGCTTTAGTTATCTTCTTATCTTCTTTATCTTAAAGTTGAAAACTGAATTTTAAAAAATTGGCAGTCACTTTCCTGCCAACTGAAAAGTGTGGCACAAAATCCAAGCATTTTCTAACAACCTCCCCTCCTTCTATCCTTTCCGCTTAAATCCGTCCTTGCTTGTTGTCTTTCATTTTGATGGTGCGTTTGAAAGACTTGATGTCTACGGTGTTTTAATGATGTACTTCTGTGTTTGCTTCCGATGTTTTCGACTTTTGTACTTATTGCTGTTATCTGTCGTGATTACCCCCATAAATCTACCTCCTATATTCGAAAGAGATTTCGAATATTCTATTAGGTAGTTCCAAGACATTTCTTTTGTGTCTTTGGCTGTTTTAGTCTACTCGGTGTTATGCAGAGTCGAAGCTGCCCTATGATGGGTTGAAAAATTCCAGCTTGGCGTGCTGAAGTTTCTGTGTAAGATCACATCTCGGTATAAAAATGAATAGTTGAGTAACTTCACTTCTCTTGCTGCACATTAAGGTGTCTAATGTTATGCACAAAGCCCCGTCCTCTATATCTAGGGCTTAGACCTCGTTCAACCGGCCTTGTCTTTATTTTTATTCCGTTTTTGTAGTCTATATCTAAATCTGCATAGTTTAATCAGCCTGAAGGGCCTTCGATGCTGATAGATTACGATTGACCAGCAGAAACGCTGTTTTGTTGGTATTATGAAAGTGGAAGAAAAACATCTGCTTTTTCTGAGATTTTTGAGAAAACGTCTGAATCTATGATTCTTAATCAAACTTCAGGCTCCACAATGTTTCGAAATTTTGCTAGAGTAATTCAAACTTTGTAGCAATTCTTCAATATGTTATTTATGAATAAACTGAATCTTTCGCAGAACAAATTGAGGGAGATGAATGGAAATACTAGAAGACGAATGGCCTCTCTTCAATCTGAATTCGAAGGCGCAAAATCGAGGCTAGAAACCCTGATGCATCGACATCAAACTGCTACACCTGACTACAACGCCTACCAGATCATGCGCAGAATATCTCGATCATCGATGCCACGTAAGATTTCACATCAGAGCGACTCGTGAACGTTCAACCACAAACAATGTGTATACAACATCATTTTAATGTAATTAATTACAATTTTTCAGTAAGAGGTAGTTAGAGCTTCTTTTATAAATAGTGTAATTTTTGAATTAGCATTCAAGCTTTCTTATTTCAAAGTTTATTCTCATTTTTCTTGATGACCTGTTTCTCAGCCACCTGTATCGGTCTAGACTACTGAAACAATGAATTGAATTGGAAATATTGACCCTCAAATAAAAAATTGTGTAGTGGAGGCCCTCCCTAATAAAGGAGAAGGACCGTTAGATCATGATAAAAGTACCACTTGCATGCGAGGCCATTTTTATTTGTTTGCCTTTCATTACAGTGTCGTTGCTTTGTTTTTACCGAAGTGGAAGATCAGTTATATATTGCCAAAATGATTGGTTATTTGATTTGCAAATTTTTTTGGCTTAGTTTGGAAAATTAGTTGGGATTGTAAAATTTTTCACTATTGGCAACAAATTCGCGGCATTATTTCAACACAAGCCAAAAGAACACAGATTTTTGTTTTTTTTAAGTGTACAAAACCGTCCATCCTGTTACTTGTTCTAGGCTGTCATCTTATTCAAAGATTCCGTTCTTCAAAGCGTTTTTCTAAGTGCTTTTCAAAGTGGCATTTTACCAACTGTTCTTGACGTAAGTGCATTCCTGGGCGAGACGAACCTATTTTCTCTTTCTTCAAAGTTCACCTGAAGTGCAATAATAAAAAAGGGACAGGCCTTTTCCACTAAGTAACCTGTCCCGTCAGATTACCCTCTCCATGATAAGAAGGCATTTGCTACTGATTGGCGAACTGATGAGGTCTGAAAATCCGCAATGGGACGAAAATATCTTCCTTTACAATATCCTCAATTAAAGTGCAATTTCTTTGGCACAGTTTTCAAAACTTCTTGTTATAAGAGGGTACTGAAGGTCTTATGCGTGATTTAGGATCTGTCTGTTCTCGTAAGCTGTGACCCGTGATTGATGGAAAATATCTTATCTCGTTACACCGAGGACATGCGTGAAACGCTGTCAACAACAGCAACAATGGTTTTATTTTGTAAATCGAGAAAATTGTTTATTTTTAATTTGAAATTCAATTATGTTTCCACCTGATTTATAATTCTGACCACATCTCAACGCCATCGTTTTAAATTGCCAGAAGAATTCACTTCTCCTTATTTCTGGCTAATAGCAAATTTTACTAGTAAAAACACCACCAGATTTAGCTTGAAAGGACTTTAATATATAATTGAACATAGAGTTCCAAGGTGTACACTCATACAATCTAATAGATCATTATATTTGAATGATTTTCCAGTAGATAAATTTTTTTATTTAACAAAAACCGAAAAAATTACTTCATAAACTTATTTAAATATTCTATATATGAATCGCTAAATAACACACCAATGCAGGTTGCAGCCTTATGTTGCAAATTGAATACCGAAGTGTGACGTCATCAAAAATCAATTTTTGAGTTTCTCAAATTTGAATTGATTCCTGAATAGTGTTTGTTTGTGAATTTTAATATTCCTGTTGGTTATCAACCGTGTGTATCCAAATGAGTTTTTTTTCCGTTATTTGATTTTGTGTAAAATTTGAAAAAATTGTTTCCTAAGTAATGTAACATATTCGGGCATTGTTGAAAATCTCTTGGTTTGGCTTGTTTTCATGGATATGTCAAAAAAAATTGAGCAAGGGGCTTTTCAAGGGGGTCTCAAAGGTAGCTTGTTTTATTTATGTGTAGAAATTTATTCCCGTACCTACAAACAGGTAGTGCAATGTGCTTTAGGGTTTTAAGGCTTGCTTACAGTGGGTATATGTTCAATTGTATCAGTAATCAGTGATATCAGTGTATCAGTAGTCATTGTTATAGTTATCAGTTACCGGTAATCAGTAATCACTTATCACCAATCGCTAATCACTAATTTCATTGCTAAGGAATCGGTTTTTGCTTTTTGAAATTTCCTCGTTCGATTTGATGAATAAAAAGCAAAAATAGCCGTGTGTTTAGTTTGCAGTGGCTGGCGAATCCGTAATTCCTTGAAATGAATGTCGAGGTATTTTTGGTGCATGCAATCGATTTAATTCATATTGTATTTATATGTAAACAAGAATTAGGTTCAGATGCAGGAACGACAAATATTAGGTGCATACATTATCTGATCATTGAATAGCGTAAGGTGAAATTGATACCAAAACGGTATGTAATTTCTACATTTAAAGCTAAATTCCAGCTTTTGGCAAAAATTAATATGAATGACATTTATATATTTGAATGTGTATGTTTAAATTGATAGCAGTAAAAATCCACAGATAAGGAACTCACTGATAAGAAGATAAAGGTGACTTTTTCAAATTTATGCACCAATGTATTCGAAACTGTCGAGCCTGAGTTTCTCTAATTTCTTATAAGTGCTTATTTACAGAAAAAGATTGTGAAGTAGAATGTTTGTAAGATGCAGTTTTCCATAAACAACCATTTTTCAACTAACTGAATTTGAATAACTGCTCTTTAATAGCTCATTTCATTCTGTCAAAGTGTAAAATTTCCATTTCGTGTTCTTTTCTTTTGAAACTCATTTTAATAAGTAACCGATCAGCCTCTTTTCAAATCTATTCCTTTACAAGAAACTCATCAGCCTCTTTTCAAATCTATTTCTTTAGACGAAACCGTATAGTCTGATTCGAACAATTTTTGGAGAAAGAAAATTTGAAAATGGCTTTGAAACAGCAAACACTTTACCACATACTAAAAGCTTTTCGAAGAAAAGTCTGTTTCAAAGAGTATGAGCTTCTTATATGCAGTTTTTACTTTAAACTAGTGTGGACTTAATTTTCTACAGAGGTTTGCGTGCAAAGTTTCCCTTTACCGGACTGGACCACAAGGCTTCGAACTATGTACTTGTCCACCCAATGTTCATGAAGTGGTCCTGTTAAATTAGTTGGGCCATCTTTAGACAGCTCTAAAATATTTTCCGCAATGAAACCTTTATCTATCAGCGCTTTTTTCTTTTTTGAGTGTTCTGGTAACAGCAAAATCAATATCTTTTTGGACAATCCTTCAGCATCAATCCGATCGCGAAGCTTTTGAAAATTGGTGTATACTTCTTCACCTGATATCTTCACTTCGGCAAATATCTTCACTTCGGGATCTTCAATTCGCTCTGTTAGTAACTTTTCAAATCCATCCGTGCAAAGGATCAGAAGACTGCTTAAATGTTGCATGAAATCGACCAATTTGTCTGCATTTTCGTCTGGATTCGCAGAAGAAATTTTCAAGTCATCTTTGTGAAAGAGCCTTATCTGACCATTTCTTTTCAAAGCTGTAATCAATTTTTTTGAATCTTCTCCGGCATCGTCATGAGACAAAAGGATAGTCCATTCTAGATCACTGCCTGCAAGAATAGATCTATCGATGATTTTTGTACACTTCCTCTGAATTCTAAACTTGAAAAAGTTTGAAAAAGATCGATCAGTCGTGGTTAATAAACATTTCCCTCAGAATATAAATAAGCCAATCCTGGAAAGTTACAAATGCTCTTTTAACATTATAAAATTACCTATATCAAGCGAATTAGGTTATTCGTAATTTTAAATGGTTAATTAAAATTGCTACATCTAAAATATTAAATGGCTACAAAAATTATAACAGCTCAAATATACAACAGTAAACTGATCAGCACATTTTTTTCAAAAGGTCTGATAAATTTTGAAATGCTCGCCTTACTGTTATCCCAATAATTTGAATCAAATCAGTATCTTCTTGACTCATCATAGGAGCCCCTTGTTCCCAAAGAACGATTCCTTTTGATCCTATTGCCCCCCTCCAAATAATTCTCTCCTTCCTAAGGTACTGGTAGCCCTTCGTTGCTTTGTCCATGAAAACTTTGATGCAATTTCGAAGCTTTTTGCAATTTTATGCTTATTATTTTTTTATCGTTGCTAATCAAAAATGTTTTATCGGAAAATTGCATCGCTTCTTGTAAATGTAAGGAAATTAATGAAACCTCACCTGTCGATCGTGGTGTTGTTATTTAATTTAAAAGTTAGTGCTAGTTTGTCAGTTATATGCCCTTGAAATTAGAATTCTTGTACAGAAAACCTCTTTATCAGAATGCTTGACATAAAGTTGTTTTCATTTCAAGTACTTTTGAAAACTCAGGAAGTAACAACGTTGGATTTGAAGTTTTTACGCTTGGGTCCAAAGAGTGAGACACTCAATCACTGTCTTATTTTGTATTTTAATCGTCTGAATTTGGGTTGATACGCCAATGTCCACTTTTCAATTTTTCTTCAGTTAATCATCTACATGCTAGCATCTTTTAACAAAAGTAGAGACTTGAATTCCAGCTCTCAGTTGTCTAAACGCAATGTTATAGTGACAAACCCCCTTCTCCACATAGTAGAACTGTATGTTGGGATGAATAACATAATTTTTCTCAATCAAATTTGTTAAAATATGGGTTTAAGTTTCATATTGCACAATGGAGTTTTGTCGGCATTTCAACACTTCTTGAGTATCAAGTCGTTCTTTGGACAAGCCCATATTGCCACTTTGGGTGAACAAGCTCTTGGGTGAGGCCACTTTGGGTGAAAAATCTTGCCTGGACAGGACACGCCCTCTCATCCCTCTCTTGTACTAAGTAAAAAACGTCTTTGCACTATGTCCTATTTACCTGCCCATGATGCAAAGGGAGTTGTATTCAATCTTTATTGCAGATTTATATATTAAAGCCACAGAATATAGATCTCTTTTCTGTGCTGAAGCTTAATTTTATGTCGATGATTATTTACAGGGAAGCTTGAACCTTACAGCGTATTTTTGCATTTTCATCCAGAATAACGCATAGCATTTTGCAAAAAACTATCCACAGTTTCAAAACTCACTACAGTTCAAAACCCAGCATACTGTCGAAACTCGTCACCACAATATTCATGAGTTAATCTCCAGCTTAAGAACGTTTACAACAATTTTTTCTGTTGATAAAGTTCTTTTGTATCACTTGAATATCTTCTTGTGTTGTGTTTCAGAACGAACAATAGCCTGTAACGTCACATTCAAGAGAGAATATTCAATAAATGCAAGTGCTTATATAAATTCCTTATACTATACCTCGCTCTGTTTCATACTCTATCTGTTCCTTTGCGGGTTTGTTCCCCATCTTCAACAGCTAAAGTCTTCCTGCAAATAGGTAATTCCACAATTATGATATCCTTGATCACTAGGTTAGGCAAACGATACTAGTTGGTTCGAGTGGACTGCAATGTTAATTTCTCTCCTGATACTGTGAGCATACTGAGACCGTGTGTTTACATAGTATGTTTTGACTCCAATAAAGCCATTGAACTCAAGATGAAATTGAAAAGGGTCTCATCACATCACTCCATCAAACTGAAAAAGGCTAATCAATAATGAATGGCTCATTCAAAGGAATTTAATCTTTTAGAAGTGTTTGCAATATCAGAGTTCTCATAAATATTAATTTAGTTATTTCCAGATGTTACTGCTTGTGTTAGTTGAACACAAGAGCAACAAGTTAAATGTCCGCACATCATAGAAAGTTTGCTAGACTTATAGAATATATTTGGTATTACAGATTTGGTAGTAAACTCCTCTTCTTCAACCTTTAACAATTTGGTTGCTCATTTCTTCTGTGAAGAATTGGAAATGAATGCTTCATTTATACTGTGTATGAATACTGCGAGGGATCTAACAGTATACTAGTAAACAGTGTTTGTTTTTGCATTATGTGAAGAATATTTCTGAATATGTTGTTTTTCGACTACAGCTGAGTGATTAAGATGTTTAGGGCAGTTTTAGAATGCATTACAATAGTTTTAATGAGTTTAAGTTTAGACATAAGGCGACAGCTGCCATTTTAAAATAGGCATCTTGAGCCCTGTTTACACTATACAAACTAACCTGGGTTCACCCTAGGTTAAAAGTAACCCGGCACGAATTTACACTTTAAATTATCGATTTTGTAGTGTAGACGGAATCAAGGGCAAACCTGGGTTAGTTTGGTAACGACGCATTCGTAACACGCAAAATTGAAGGTGAGGATAAACAAAATGGCGGCGGTCAACGTGTGTAATGTTTTGTGAACTTTACAGAAAACCATAAATCGACTTTAAAGTACGATGATTCCGAGCACTGGCTTCGTACAATGAGAAAACATTGCATTTGCGCTTTGCTTTGTTTTGCATTCAGCGCAGTTTCTGTCAATGCGCATTCGTCGTGAAGAAACTAACCCATGTTCGCCGCAAGTTTGCGTTTGCATTGCACTTAACCCACCTTTCAAGACGGGTTGAGTTAATCTGGGGCGAACTTTGCGTTTTTACTACGAAAATCCAACCCGGTTTAGTTATAGCCTGGGGCGAATCCAGGTTAGTTAGTTATTGTAGTATAACTAAGGCTTTGATCTCAATAATCTTAATGGTCATCGGCACGAACTTCAAATAAGGGAAAGGTGAGGTATCTGTAAAAACAAGGTTTGAATATTTTATATTGCTTCTCAAAAAAGTATTGGGGAAAGACATCACGAGTTTTATTCAAGAACAAATTGATACCTCTTCACTGGCAATAGCCATCTTTAGTGAATTTTCAAAAAGCCTTAGGGCGTTTTCATTATGCTTCAAAGATATTAAAACGAATCACGAAATTCTCTTTGTTTAGTCAGGTTGTCATATGTTGCCTTTTCAGTGGTCCAGATAGGATTTGCTGCTGTAGCATGATTTTTACTTTGTTTGCATAAATTTGCATAAATTGACCAAAGTGCAATTTGTGTTAAAATCAATAATAGGTGCTAGTACACGCACTTTTTATTAGAAACAAAGTTCAAGATTAGTTCTCAATTTTTGAACTTTGCTTTTGTGCTAAAATTTCTTAAATGCCAAAATAATGACAATCTACTCTATAGAAGTTTAAAAACGTAACATGAAATAACATAAAATTAAGTAACTTATCAGTCGATGAAATTTATTCTTTCTATTTTCTATGGCAATTGAACAGGGAAAAAGTCCTTTCCACCCAGTCCCTATAAGAAGGATTTTCACACGGTTTGAGGGGGATTGGCACCTTGGGTTTTGTTTCATATTTTAGCCATCTTAGGGCTCTAGTTTTTATAGGAGTTTAATTAAAAATCAAATACACATTCATGAAAAATTCTTAACTTTATGTATGCAGTGGACTAAAATCATCAAATAAATGTGTAAACACCTATCCGAGACGATATTGTCACGGATTCACAAAGAGGTCTTTTGTATGGCTGTTTCAGGTTATCGAGGCTTTGATTGTGGCGTAGCTACGTTGTCAAATTCTGAAGAAAAGGACATTCTGAAGACAAGGCGACGACAGAAAAAGCTTGTATTGTCTCCCAGTCCAAGCCTTCATTGGACTTTGCAGTTTTGTAGTCTAAAATAACACTGAAAATTAAAGCCACCTTGTCGTCCGTCCAAGTAAAGTTTTTATCGGCCTTCCGCTCCATTTTAGCTCTCGATAAAATTTAGATTGTTGACTTCGGCGGCAAAATAAAAGCCTCGGTTGACTAAATACAGCTTCTTCTAAACATTGTTCTACCATTCAATTAAGGTCATACCGGTACAGTGTAAACGGAACGGCTAAACGGAACAATTTGGAACCGCGACAGTGTAACCACTTGCGAAACGTAACCGTACAAAATTGTCTCGGGACAGTGTAAACGGGGTCTAAAGCGCGAACTATTCTTATCAAACACATAGACGAAATTGTGTTTTAGGTGAGTAAACAATTTCTTTACCACCAATCTTGATTTCCAAGGCCACTATTAGGGAATAAGGACTAGAATAGTTAGTCCTAATCAATAGAAAATCAGGACCATTTAAGGAATAGTTCTTCCGTTACCAAAAGGTTACTACCATGCCTGCAAAAGTATTGGTACATTACACTGATTTTTGAATATTTTGTACTGCATCTCCCTCTCCCCCTCCGAAAAATGTTGTTTTATGCATTATTTAAGGGTTCACTATGGTCCAATGGATTGATTTCATAACGTAAGCACTACAATCAACATTCGATTAGGGGAGGGCTGGTGCGGTACTTTTACCGGAAACTGTTTATTTTTTCAAAACAACACAAAAACCTAGGCGTTCAAGAGACTTTTGGCAGAAAGCCTTTTATGTCAAATACTAACATAAGCTGAAATGTCTCTTACATGCAGTTAAATAAACATGGCAATACATGATGCTTACGCCAAACGTGAAGAATCACAGGGCGCCCTTTGATTTGTAAACACGAGTTGCGATCGAATACGTAGGCCATTGCGTGAACACGGCAAATAAGGAAATATTGTTATGAATTAACATGTTAATTAGTTTTTGTTTTGGAGTTTTTTCAAAAAAGATTCCTATACGGAGATTAGACAATTTTATTTTTCTTTTAATCGTGCTTTTATCATTAACAAGCCAGCAAAGCTCAAGTTTGTACCTCCTTAGAAATTTCCACAAACTACTTAAATATAATTCAGGTTCTCTTCTAAATTGTATTTGCTTTTTTGGCTTTCTTTTGTTTATGTGGGTGGGAGCTCTCAGCATTTCTGAAAGAGCAATATAGTTATCACCTGTAGAAGGTTCAGAAGGACGTCATATTGCTACACCTTAACTTAGAAATTTGGCTTTCAAAATCTGGCTTTCAAAATCAGGCAGGCCTTAAAATTCATCCCTTATTTTGTTTGCAGGCTACCATATGAAATACCTTCCTATCGTAAGACCTATCTTTGCAATGCAGTTACTACAATTTTTAAAGCAAAAGGCAGTGCAGAAATAAAATACCACTGCAATCATATCACACAGTAATAAAATATCTATATTTATCACTTACAAAGTTGTTCAAATAAAGTTCTTCTTGGAGGTAGAAAATTGAGGAAAATTTCGCTGGCCATTTATTTATCGATCTTTTTTGTTCTTGTGTATGCGCAGCAGGATTCATAGGTACACGTATATCATTTATTTTACCACATGTTTGATTTGCTCGATAGCATCCTCGAGAGCACGCTGATAAAATGGTCGTATGGTGAACACGTGGGTCAATTAATCATAAACTAAGACGTTTCGCTGGCATGAGCCTTTTTTAAGCCTAGATTGTACATTCGTCTTAAGACCAAGATGATACTCTATCTTAAGGAGAGTTAAGAGCTAAAAAGCCTGTGAAGGTTGCGAATTTGCTAACATTATCAAGCTTTTCTTCCCAAAAAGAACTGACTTTTTTATTAAAACGCCAGTAAATTGGTGTTAAAAAAGGCTGTTTTATTTCAATTCTTGAATTATTCGGTATGCAGAATGACATTGCATCTGTACAGCGTGGGTATTTTTTCTAAATAGTTTTTGCAAATGATATCCAGTCGGGAAAAATATATCATCAATAGCAATGTACTTTCTGATAATATAAGTCTTAGTACTAATTAAAGTTTTTACACATTATCAGCTAGCTAAAAACCATATATGTTATAAAGAGTGTAGAGTAAGGCCTTTTTCTTTTAACATGTTTTTTGGCTTATATGTCTAAAAATTCATGTAAATGTTCAATAATCATGCAGTTAGTAAAGTACCGACTTTGTGTTTAACTTGCTTTATGCTTCTAAAATTTTATGCCCACGCAAATAGATGCTACCCACAGCCATCCTTCAGAAGGTTCAGGCCCTTCATAAGAGCAAGTGTTTTGTCTCTTCTTCGTCAGTCTCTTGATGACCATTGTGTCTATATTGCACAGTAATTATGT